ATGATGCTACTTCCGGTAGCATTGACCTAATTATAAAACAGCATCAGGATAAGGATAACTAGCATTAAATCAGCAAGCAAAGGAAGCATTCAAATCAGCAAGCAAAGGAAGCATTCAAATCAGCATCGATGCTGTAACAAAATTAGTTTCCTGCACTGTAAATTATTACCCGTCCCAAATTTTTGTATATAATTTCTCTTTGTTAGGTTCTCAGAAGTTATCTGCGCTTTCCCATGAATCACTTTTTGAGCAAGTAACTCAGTCTAAATTTAGAAATAATATTTTTGTAAATATTTTTGATTATTTTTGTAACACCCGCTCGGTTACACGTCACATTTACTGGTGACAACAGCGGTGGGATACATATAACCAAACACTGAGAAATATTGAGAGAAGTATACACTGAGCCAATCTGAGAAATTTTGAGATGGAGTTGATTGAGAGTGTTATACAAAATAGGAACAGGTTTCTGTCGCCAGACTAAAGGCAAATGCTGAGAAAACTTATATATAACTTATCGGAAACGGCTGACAAAGGATGTAAAAAAGAAAATAAAGCACAAGACGGGCCAGGGTAAAGTTCAAGAGCAGAGCGCAAAATGGTAAACAGATCAATTAGGATCCAAACAGCCCATGTTTGGTGGAAGTCGACCAAATATAAAACCTGCTACGTATGATGGAACCAGATCATGGCAGGATTACAAATCTCACTTTGATGCCTGAGCAATGCTTGGAAATTGGAGCAAACGTGAGAAAGGACTATACTTAGCTGTTTCATCGAGAGGACAAGCACAAGGAGTGCTTGGTAATTTGTCCGGTGATGTCCGGTGATGCTCTTAACGATTATGTTGAGCTTGTTGGAGCGTTTAGCAAGCGATTTGCACCCTCAAATCAGACAGAGCTCTACCGAGCACAGTCGAGGGAGCGTAAAAAGAAACAGAAACACTTCAAGAACTGGGACAAAGTATAAGAAGATTAACTAACTTAGCCTATCCAACGGTACCCACTGATGACAGGGAGACATTAGCTAAGGAGCAATTCCTTGATGCTCTTTCCGACTCAGATACGAGACTACGTATAAAGCAGGCTAGACCATGAGACTTGAACGAAGCCATCAGACATCCTATAAAGCTAGAAGCCTATAGTAAGGCGGAGCAAAAACAGATTGAAAATAAAGGTTTCTACAGACCAAAAAGCAACAAGGAGACACCAAAAGATATCTCTGAACTAAGCAAGCTCATCATGGAATACATGGGAAAAGCGATGATTGATATGAGACAAGAAATAAAATCCATAAACGAGAATCAGCCTCAACAAAGGAACTACTCAAGCCAAAAAGTCCAAAAAGCTTCTTTTCAAGATAATTGGAAAGAAAGAGTAACCTGCCATAATTGTGGACGAAAGGGTCATTTGCAAAGAGAGTTCTAAGAAGAAACAAAGATGGATATACTCAGAAGACCAAATCTCAGACGAAGAGAAATGAGCATCAACAACCTTCCAAACAGTTTGTTTCTACAAATCCTTGGAAGCGGAACAAGAAATTGAAACAAATGGAAAACGCTCGTATTGGAATAAACATCAGAACCTGTGATCCAGGTATCTATGTTGAGGTCTCATTCAATGGTATTCGAGCGAAAATGTTGGTCGACACAGGTCCCACTGCCTTACTGATTTCTAAAGTACTGTATAACCAAATTCCAGTGCGAGAAAAGGAGGTCATATCGCTTACTAGAGATATTCTCCCTGCAAACGGTGAACCAGTCGAAGTGTATGGGGAGACAGTTTAGAATTTCCACATTGGAGATAGATCTTACACGAATACAGTAGCTGTAGCAAAACTGTCTGTAAATGGTGTATTGGGACTGGATTTCATGACTGAGAATAACTGTACCATAGACTTGACAAACAGAAGAAAACAATTCGGAAGAAATGAAGTACCATTGATTTCAGATGGGGTTGTTGGTTGCTACAAGATAGCAGTAGCAAATAAACTGAGCATTCAACCTAGAACCGAAATCATTACTTCTTGTGATATTTGTCTCAAAGAAAAGGAAACGACACCTAGAGGCATTGGACTGATTGAGCCAGATAAAAAAATCATCAGGTCGGACAGAGCTTAATAGGGAAAGTGCTTCCCAATATGGGAAACTGCATTCCGATTAGTATCAGGAATTTGACGTCAGATGTAAAAGTTCTAGACAAGGGCACAGTAGTTGCCACTCTGAGCCCAATTGAGTAGGTCATGGGAAACACACATCATATGAATTCAACAGACTTGAATCAGCTTAATCCCGTAATAGAGGATCTGTACGAGAGATCTAGCAAAAATCTGAGTGCAAAGCAAAAGATGAAGCTCAGATCATTGCTTCAGAAACATTCATCTCTTTTTGCTGCAGATAGTAAGGATTTTGACAGAACAGACATCATAAAGCAAAAAATAAATACAGGAAATGCTGTGCCTATCAAAGAACCATTGCGCAGATTACCTGTCTATATGCGTGAGGAAGTAGACAAACAATATAGATGAGATGCTAGAAAAAGGTGTTATTGAACCGTCAACGAGTCCTTGGGCAGTTGGAATTGTACCTGTGAAAAAGAAAGATGGCAGTACTCGATTCTGTATAGATTACAGAAAGCTTAATGCTGCTACTATAAAAGACTCATATCCACTACCATGTATTGACGAGTCTCTCGACCACTTATATGGAGCTCCTTTGTTCTCAACATTAGATATGTGTTCTGGATACTGGCAAGTGGAGATGGACCCAGCAGATAAGCCAAAAACAGCTTTCACAACCAAACGAGGACTTTTTCAGTTCAAAGTAATGCCATTCGGGTTATGTAATGCCCCAGCAACGTTCGAAAAACTTATAGAAACCATACTAAATGGACTGCAATGGGACATTTGCTTACAAAAGTTTTAAATCGATTTTGAATCAATAATTATCATTCGAACAATTGATAAATGGCTGAAATTTTATTTTGCGTTGGGTTTAATTATGAAAAAGTCTTTGGCTGTCTTGCTGCCAATAATTATTTTTTTGTTAAGTAATTAAGGAGAACACATTAAAGCATTGGCTGCTTAACATTATCACTGTTTAGAGAAAATGTGAACAAGGAAATATTTTTCTTGGACTTTAAAAAAAAAAGAACGCTAATCAAATGCACAAGACAATGATCAAGTATGCTTCTATTCCTTAATCTCTTGATTATGCACACTACACGCACATTTTATCAACTCGACTCTGTTTATTTCCAATTCTGGCATTCCTTACTCAGAGACCAGATGAAAAGAATAAGATTTTAATGCTTTAAAAAAAATTGGTTGGACGGTTGCTGAGAAAAAAATGAGATTAAAAATTTTCATTTTTCATTCTTCGTATGTCTCAATACATCTGGTCACCATTTTGAAAAAGGGACACTTGTAACAATGTGTCCCTCCTTCTTCCCCCTCATAACATAAGTACAGCCATTGTATTTTTATTGGAAGGAAAATTGGCTCTGAGGGAAATTGCACTCTATAACTACTACACAGAGTAGGATTTTCCCCCCGAAAAATTGAATCTGGTGTGGGATTTCCGTGGGGGAAATTCTACTCTAGAGTCATTTTTCCGTGGGAAAAATCCTACTCTAGAGCCTATTTTCCGGGGGGAAATTCTGTTCTAGAGCCAGTTTTCCCGGGGGAAGATTTTAGAGGGGACAAGTATATTAATATGCAAGCACCATAGGGTAGTGCAGATTCAAGTTTGTTTAAATCATGATCCCCGGGGATAGGATGGGGCCACAACAAGGGATCAAAGTTATATAGAAGAATAGATTTAAGTGATATCTTTAAAATAAAATCTTCTTCTCAAGAACAGCAATTTAAGCCATATTTAGTCGCACTGGTTAAGCATCCTCGGGTAGTGTATATACATGTATTTAAGCTTGTTCAGATCATGACCCCTTGGGTTATGGCGGGGTCACAATAGATCAAATTTTTACATATAAATATAGGAATATATATAGGGAAAAAATCTGTAAAAACCTTTTAAAACCATGATTAGTTATATAAATACGGAAGCATCCTCAGTTAGTTTAAATTCAAGCTTGTTCAAATAATACCTCCTCCCCTGCCCATCCAAGGGCGTGAGGCGGGGAGGGGGGAGGGGGGGACATATATATATATATATATATATATATATATATATATATATATATATATATATATATATATATATATATATATATATATATATATATATATATATATATATATATACCTGTATGTATTTAAACTTCTGATCAATACTGAACTGATTTTTGCTTTTCTTTTATCTAGCCAGTGTACTCAGGTAAGTGATATGGTTCACGGGCCTATTGTCTTTTCTTTCTCTGTTCTTTTTGTTTTCTCTTCGTTTCTTTCCTTTTTGATTTGTTTTCTTTTCATTTCTTTGAATTCTTTTTGTACTTTACAGGTACTCCTCTGGGTTGGTCTGGGAGGGATGTTCCTCCTCAGAGCAATTTTTTCCTTATGTTTGGGGTGCATTTTAATAGTCATTTCTTCACAAATCAAATAAACAAAATAAAACAGGACTGGTAATTACTTTAAACAGGCAAATTAATTAACTTAAAAAAATGATTTTATTTTACTTCTAACATTATATTGCATAAGTGTTATTATATTTCAAAAAAGAGGGCGCGATTGCACCCTCCTTCCCCGTTCCGACGGCCTTGATTACTGTTAATTAAATCAATTTCTGTTGAAATAATGTTTGCCTTCCAGGGCACTTTGTTAAGTGAATGGTCTACAGAATCATATTAAATACATGTAACCTAGAGCTATGTCTTTATTGGTCAATGAAATATCTTTTCTTACAAGTTCTTATAATCATTACTCATTTGATAATTCATTTTGTGACTCAAGTCAGCTAGACTGCATTTTTTTAAAGTCGGGTTCGATCTTCTAAACCTTTTTATTGTAACGACGATCAGCAACCCGATCTGACAAGTCGAATATTCAACCAGAAACCACATGATGAGAATGAAATAAGTATTTGTCGACAAGAATGGAGAGTGGTAATACTCTGTTGTTAACTGTTATTATAACCTTATTAATGCGTATGAGTCTTTCAACTGATAGACTTACTTCTTCATGGACATTTTCTCAACAAAGTTTATACCGAATTTTCTCGTGAAACGGAAATTTCTACAAACGTTTGACTTTCCTGTTTTGTTTTGGGTTGGGTTGGGTTGGGGGGGGGGGGTCGGTTGAAATGGTGTGAAATTTCATGGTGTTTAAGAATTGAGAATTTTTATATGTTTTATTGTAAATGTAATATGTATTGAATATATATTTAACTTCTAAACCAATTGCAATTGGATATTCAAATAATTAGATTAGTTGACTTAACAATATCATATTGTTAAGTCAACAAATTTAATTATTTTAAAACAGAAACCATAGTTTAGAGCTCTGAGAAGGCAGTGAGCATCATAGCACGAATGCAGTGCTATTTTGATGAAATAGGTTCTTTCAAAAAAAAAAAGGTAAACACCTAGCCCTGAAAATGTATTTCTCATATATATTTCTCATATCATCTCTTATTGTTTGACTCTTCTTACCATTTTACAAGAGGTTCCTGTTTCTTGGGGTTGGGGTGTCAGGGGTCAAAGGTCTTTATCTGCATGGTTACTTTGTGAAACTTGCCAGATTGTTGTGGTTGATATTCATTTATTATATCAAATATGGTGATGGCCTGTGACGGTACATATTGTCATTTTATCTATTTTTGACTATTGGTACATATAATTGTCGCTGGCTGAAAAGTTAAATATGTACATATTGTTGCTGGTGACAGTATGTGCCGACCCTCACTCAGGGTTGTCCCTAAGAATTGATATAGCAAGGAACATTAAAAAAGTAGAAGGTGGTCTGAGGTTCCTCCCGACAGGGGATTGAGGGAGGAATACTAGAACAACGGGGGGATTATGTCATTATAGGTGAGAAAATTCCCCGGCCCCTGGGTCTTACTGACAGCCCTGCTCACTGCACATATTGTTGCCCACACAGATATTGTTGTTAAAGTTTTTTTTGTAGTTTTATGAATGTAATTGGTGTGTGAATCACACTGACGTGCTCTTATGCTATTTCATGCAGGGCAATTGTGATGGTACATATTGTCGTCCTGTTCATATTGTTGCAGGCGACAATGTGAACCTACCTCACTGCACATACGTTGGTACAGACCCTAAAACGTGCTACTACACCACTTGCACGGTTCGGTTCATTTCGTTTCGTGTACGGTACGGTACGCTTCTTGCACGGAATGGTACGCTTTGTGAACGGTACGGTTCGCTTTGTACACGGTACGGTACGCTTCTTGCACGGTACGGTTCGTTTTGTGTACGGTACGGTTCGCTTTGTGCACGGTACGGTACGCTTCTTGCACGGAACGGTTCGTTTTGTGAACGGTACGCTTTGGTGAACGGTATGTAAATTAAGTGGGCGGAGCCTGTATACTTTAGTTTATGATTGGCTAATTAATAAAGTCGTTTATTTCTTTATTATTATCTCTTTATTTTTTTTACAGCTGTATTTTTGCTATTACATGTAACTAGTCGTCTTATTAACTTATCTTTTTTTTAAATTTACTTTCTGTATGAAATACTTTCAATATTTAAAATAATTTTAGTTGTCTATTTATTATCTTATTTTGCACAACATCGCCTTATGGTTCAATAACGTAGAAATAAATCAAACATATCAACAAACACTGTATAACAAGGATGAAAAAAAATATTTTGGTTGCGTCCCCGTAAAGGCCTTTCTGTATTTTTTTTTAAAAGAATCAGCGTACATATGGTTTTTTTTTTCTTTTAATTTTCCTAATTGAATACAACTATTATTTAAAATATTCACTTATCACACTTTTAAACAAATGAGTTTGATTTTATAAATCCCTCATGCTTTCATTTCGTCTACCATTCTTTTTACGTTCTTGTCACTGTTGCTTCATTAAAAAAACAAACAAACAAACAAAAACAAAACAAAAATGAGAACATTTTTTTCTCTTGACCAAATGATCAAACAAACAATAAAAAAAAAGTTATTATTTTCATTTTTATTTACGAGGAATTATATATAAATATTTTTTTTTTTACATAGATTCCTTAGGTTTTTTGCTTACTTGGAAAAATACATTGAAAAAGTAGAAGTGCACACAATTAGTGCAAAATATCACTTTATTTTTTGTGCGCGTAATTGGCTTCAAAGACAGATTTTCCGAACTAAATAATATGTCAAAATGTTATAAATAAATAGTCTGTTTTCAATTACCTGGAAAAAAATAATATGCAGTCCTCAAAAACTTTGAAAATGAATAATTTGCCCATGCCGGGTGCTACCCCCCCCCCCTTTGTTTCCTTATCAAACTCAAACTTTTTTTATTGAAGTTCTAGAGGAAAAGCTGACTGCACATAAAATTCTGTTTATCTGCAGATTAAAATGGTTCATTGTTGTAGATTTACTATTTAAGACAGCAACTGTTGATACACGTGTGAATGTAGGCATATCTGGACTAACGGGATTAGATTCGGTTCAATATACACAGCTTAAATTTTTACGTGTGCTGACAATGCTTGATCGAAATTTCAAATGTTTTAGAGTAAATAACGAAAGTATAGAAAGACGTCAGTCTAGATGATGAGACCATGGCAAGAAATGCACAGTGTTTCTTTAAAAAAAAAAAACTTGGATGAACACGCATGCACGGACTACGCATTAAAAAAAAAGATTAAAGTGGGCTTTGTGTATAAATTCTATGGCAAGAAATGCACAGTGTTTCTTTAAAAAAAAAACTTGGATGAACACGCATGCACGGACTACGCATTAAAATAAAAAAAAAAATTAAACTGGGCTTTGTGTGTTAATTCTAGGTAAAATATTTTTACCTGCAGGTTTCAGTGAATAAAGCAAATGAAATGGGAAAATGCTTTGAATGAAAATTAATTCTGACATATCCAGATTTTTTTTTTAATTACATGTATTAAACTGAAAATTCCATGCGAAAATGTGGCGATCGAACTTTTTGGTAGTATGTTATATTGGCGATAACATCTTGGGTAGATCAGAGGAGTGTAAACCAACACATATGATTTATATATACATCGCTTTTATTTATTTTTTTCCTAGTGATTTTGACATGTCCGCTTTCAAATTGACAATTTAGTTCGTATCCGTAATTTTTTAAAAATTATTTTTGTTGCTAAATCTGTAATCATTTCTCCCTAAAACTATTACTTACATGAATAGAAAATGATTTTAAGGGCTTGATTTCGGAAAATAGCACAGGATCTTAATACATTTTGCAATGTGTCTTGGTTTCCGAGAACGTTCATAGAGAAAAGAATAGGGTAGATAAAAGCTATAGAAATAAACGATAAAGTATATAATTCACTTTTATTTATAATAAATTGTACACGAAAATATTACGATGCTGCATTTAATATGAAAAAAATGTTAGTCAAGCACAGCCCGATCATGCATAGCGAATAAGGAATCCCCGAGTTGTATTGAAGTCGTAACTAGTTTTGAGTAGTTTCCTTATATTAACAGATTTAAGTCCAGATGCATGGTACTTAACAATAATATTTTGAATCTTTGGATTATTTTCCGTCCTTCTTTAACGTGCTCTGCATCGACAGAAATAAAAGAAAATTAATTACTGTATTTGGTCATTCGGAATGCTTTCGGGGCGTGGCTTGCATAATTATTTCAAAAATTATTCATGAACGGTACGGTTCGCTTTGTGCACGGTTCGGTACGCTTCTTGTACGGTACGGTTCGTTTTATGTACGGTACGGTTCGCTTTGTGCACGGTATGGTTCGCTTTGTTCACGGTACGGTACGCTTCTTGCACGGAACGGTACGGTTCGTTTCTGAGGTGTAGTAGCATGTTTTAGGGTCTGTATGTCACATGACAATACATAACAATACTTCCATTTAAGAAATTGGATACCATTTTTAGAGTTTAATTGGGATATAATATGAAGTTGGTCGGCTAGTTGTATTCGGCGCGTCGGCGCGCCAGCGCGTCCATCTCATCCCAATATCACAAAAGTATTTTCTCCCTGCATTAAAACACTCAAATGACATCGATTTTCTTAATAATTTAAGCATTATCGCTTATATTCAAGTCGAAAGCCCGAGCCGGATTGTAATTTTTGTTGGGTGGATCCAGAAATTTTTCCCTAGGAGGTGTTGGCTCAAATCGCAAGGGAAAGAGGTCCGAGGCATAGCTTTAGTAATTTTACTATGTCAGTTTAAATAAATTTGAATTTTCCAGGGATCCGGATCCCCTTTGATCCTTGCATGCCTTACCACAATTTGTGCTAGAGTAATCCGAAATTTACCCCAATTTTTTGAGTTGGCCTACTTTCGATTTATCTCTCTCTCTCTCTCTCTCTCTCTCTCTCTCTCTCTCTCTCTCTTTATGTATAACAAAAAATTACCGGTATTACGTAATGACCCTAGACTCTAGAGTTTAACCCCCTTTTTAGAGACTTGATTATCATGGCAATAAGCTGCCACGCATTGGAATCAGTGTTTGACAAAGATTCCTTGTTACGTATTAAAATAATACTTAATCTACTACTAAAAATTAACTTGTCTTTATTTCAGGAGGGGGGGGGGGTAACTTTAGTTACAGAAATAGCTGGCCTGTAAACCTAAACAGATCATTTGTACTACAGATCATGTGCCAGTATACATAAAGTCCTGCCTCCCCATATTGTAGTCTCCTCAACCACTTATCTCATTAAAAATCCAATCATAGAAAATACATGTACAATGGTTCCTTCAACATTCCTTAAACATTAATTGTTGTGGTTTTGTGTTTTGCAGAGTGAAAATTAAAATAGAATTTGATGGTCATTAAAGTAAGAAGCATAATTATCAAAAAGTTTTATGATGAACTGTGTTCATGAAATACTGAGTCATTCGCTGATTACACAAAAATTGATGCCAATGAAAATTGATAAAACCAGTGTATTTACTGTATTAATTAGTGGCCATGAATAAAAGAAACCACAGGCAGTT